AAAACCAACCTAAAGAGGTGCTTTTTTTTCCTTCTTTTTTAGTTTCTGACTCTTACAAGTTATATGGTAATGAGATGGTTACTGTGTTTGTCTAATATCTCACTTGAGTGGTACAATTAATGTAGAAAGGATGGATTTTAGAGAAAAATGTAAGCTCGCTATTTCTTCTAGATTTGTTTCTACATATCCCAGTATATTTGTGCATTTGGAAGGTGGCTGCTTCGGGAGAGAGGTGACTGTGGCTCAGATGAAAAGACTAAATAAAGTCATAGTGCCACCACCTTTCATACACTAAAAAGGATATTCCTAAGAAGATACAAAGGTTAAATACCAGTTTTCATCCCAGCTCTAAATATGAGCATTTTTAGCTTCCGTTTATAGATGGTTTACAACCAACAGTTCTACAGAAAACAAAATTGCATTTCCTTCAACAGAACATTTAAGTGCAATACAGTAACTGCTTACTCATATAAACCAGTTACATTCCTTAAGGGGAGCTTTTTGAAAACAATGCGTATTGGAATTTTCAAACACATAGTTGGTACCAGAAGGAAACATTTGCACTATTAACACCAATGATTGCTATATAATACACATGGCAAATATAGTTTTTGCTTTCACGTCTCATGTACAGTGCTCATTTTGGGGGTTTTGTAAACCACTTTCCATTTTTAATATATATATATATCTTTCTGTATATATATATATATATGTATAATCTTTCAATGCTGCTGGTGAAAATCCTATCTTTAAAGCCACAATATCTTCACCTTTATTTCTTAATTAATATTAACCTGTGGAAAAAAAAACATTTTTCTATTAACTGACTTCATATACATAGAAAAAAATTCTGCAATTTTACAGAAACTGTATTACCCATTCCCTTGACATCTGATGAAAGAGACTTAACTTTTAAAAGTAGAGATGGATTTTCAAGAATGCTTTCAACTGTCTATACAGTTACTGTAGTGTTTCTTATAAATTCAACAGATGTTTTCAGAATGTAGTTATTAAAATCTTATGTATTTATGCAAGAACAGCCGTAAGGTTGAATATTTACATTGCTTTATAAAAGTTCCCCTCGATTTTCAATGTTCACCCACATACCTGGTACAGTAACAAAGATTCTGCAAACTTAAAACACTTTAATTAAATAATACTCAGAGGCACAAAGCAAACCTCAGGAATACATGGGTGAACACTTTCTTAAATAATTACTACATTCTAACATCTTCCACGTGTTTACCATTAAATGTGAAACGTTCCCATTAAACAACCAGAGATACAGTAAGAATTAAATGTTTTGTAGTTTCAAATAGAACATTCTTTTCACAAAACATAACAAATGTCTAAAATAGGTTCTTAATCTAGATAGGAAAAAGGTAAGCTTTTCACTTCATACGCTTATTTTGTGTGTGTATGTTTCTGTGTATATATACATACATACACCCACACATTTTGTGTCTGTGTGTGTGACTACATATGTATATGTATATGCACATGTCACGTATGAAATATTGCTTCTATACTACTTTTCATCAGGCTAAGAAAACACAAGATTTGCACCACAGTTACAAAAAATTGGCTTCTACAAGAATTTTCAAAACTTGAACGCTGCTCAAACAATTGAGAAAAAATAATTTGCGTTATCAAACTGTTCTAAAAATTCTCTTCTTCAAAAACGTATTCTCCTGCTTTGTTTTTTTTTTTTTTAATTTTTAAAAAGACACAAAATATGCATAGCTATCAACATTATGTCAAACAGCCGGGAAAAAAAAAATCAGTGTTTATTGCAGCTGTAGTAATTGAAAAATAAAGTTTAAAAGATGAAAATTGTAAGCCACAGAAGGCACAAGAACAATTGTACTTGTGGGGGAAAAACTGGTATTTTGAAGGATTTTTTTTATCCTTCCGCTGGTGCATTTAAGGTCTAGGCACAGACTATAACCTCAAGTTTATATGCAGAAATAAATCTGAATTAGCAGTAAATGAATGGCAACATGGGGTTTCTACATGGATTTTTAAATTCTTTCCCTATGTAAACTTTTCATTACAATAAAAGTAGCCTCCTGCCTTTTAGCCTTTTTTAGTGAAGTAATATTGAGATCAGTTGAAAGAAACTGCTTTCTGCTTAAAATTTAGTAGGAGCTATGCCATGTATTTATAATTTTAGGTGTATTGGGAGGCACGAAGGCAATATGGCTATAAAATGCCAGGAAAATCACATAACTGAAGCGATCAAATTATCGTTTATTCCTTTTTCAAACCAAGGAGTTCTTTATTTTGTTTGTAAGATGAAATTTCTACTCTCAATTCCTATGCCTCATTTACTATTGAGATTATGCTACTTATAAATAAATAAATAAATGCAACAACATCAAGTGTTGAGTACACAATTTCACTTATTTAGATTATGTGAATCACATTGCAGCCAAATAATAATAATAATAATATTAATAATAATAATAAACATAATAAAAGCAACAGTAAAATCACAGATTGAGATGGTAGCTAGTAGTATGTCCACATAGTATGACTAAAGTATGGCTTTGCTTTCTTATGTCCAAGGTGACAATGCAGTGTTGTATTTTGTATCTGATGGTATGCCAATGATGAACTTACTGTATTGAAACTTGAGTATTTTATGCCACTTCTTCCCATAAATCAAAAAAGTGCATGAACACAATTTTCATCCTTTCTTACTTGGAATTCATTGGAGTTACATCTTTATGAAATGTAATGTTTACCAAATCATGCACGTAAAAAGAAAGAAAAAAGAAATAAAGAAAACAAAAGAAAAGAAAGAAAAAGACACATCCTGTCTACTGTAAGGATACGTACAGTATTAGGTACTCTCAGGGCGTCTAAGATCAAGAAGATTTGTTTTGCTTTTAATGCATAGTGAAAATGTTGGCACTTCATCCCATGCTATTGTCTGCATTGCCTATACTCCACAGATACTGCCAGTGCTTGAAAAGAATGACAGGGAATCATAGGATTGTGCTGTTTAATTTGAAGTCAGCAGGTTGTTAAGGCTTTCTGCTAACAATAATTGCTTTCATACATTTCTGTCTATCAGCAGTATTTGTAAATGAAGTGAAATTGCAATGATCAGGTCAGCTCTTTAGTCACATGGGTAAACTTTCACTCTCCAAAGTCAAAATGTAATTTTAAAATAAAGAAATAAGATACCAATATATCCTCGATGGTCTAAATATAATTCGCAGCTAATTAGGAACTTCCTCTAGATTCAGATTGAATTATGTAGGCGAAAATACTATTGACGATAACAATAAATTCTTACTGCATCTGTACAAAAGACGACAGAGAAAATGACAAATACAGAGTGCCATAGCATATTCAACCTTCCCCCAAACTTCTGGAGACAATACCTTTCTGAAAAAGTGAGAAAAGGAGAGTCATTGAAGAAAGCACAAGAACTAGCAGCTAGCTTTCTTTCTGTCTGCTGACATACTGTGGTATAGCATTCAGGCGAACCCAGATCCATCATGGACTTCACACTGTAGCTCAGATTTTGGTCAAGACTAGCTCCAGCTTCAGAACACAAGTGCAGCACATTGCTCAAATAGATTTTTTTTTTTTAAAGCTGCACTTACTGTAAATTTAAAAATCCAATTTGGCTATCTGAACCCTGCATAGCCAGGAGGACACTGCAATTTTTGTATATGCTTGATTAGATTTTTATGAAAATGTAGTTTTTATTCTGCTGATTAGGAAAAGACTAATTATATTTTACAGCTACAAACAAGTCTTTTTTTTTTTCCTTTGCCTCAGCGCTGTGAGGTGAAGATGCTTTCTTCTACTATATCTAAAATAATTCAAAAAGTGCTTTTCAGGACAGATGTTGAATACAGACAGAAAACTTTGTATACTGGAAAGGGGATTTTTGGGGGCAGAATGGACTAAGAAAAAAGTAAATCTAGGGACTAATGCCACTTAAACTAAGACCGAGACATGGCAATATAGGACACTGAAGGTTTCATTTTTACTCTATGGAGAGTGAAATGCTTCCGCTTTAATAAGCTGACCATATTACAAAATTAGTGTGGTTGATACAATATTGTGCATGAATTACTGGCCTCACCCTGCAAGAATGGTATTTGATTTGTGCAAACGTCCCTTGCTGCAATTTAGAGAAACAACGACCTGGCATGTTGATTACTGGTGCAGGGTATTTATCATTTCTGTAAGGAAAGCATGAAGAACAGGGTTTGCTTTTTTGGGTATCACTTCTTGGAGTGAGTACCTAAAATAGATGTTGTAGTTTTTTGAAGTATGAAACAAAATCTAATTATTGATTAAAAAGTAGATAAAATTAAAAAAAAAAAAAAGCTCGAAGCTTATGAAATGACTCCACAGAGTTCAGACCTTTAGCAGTATAAACATAATATAAACTTCATTGTCTGTAGTATTGTGCCATGACATTAGTCTCACTAAGACAAAATGCCACTTTGCAGCAAGCAATAAATCTGACAAAGCATTTTTAAACATAATGCCCTAACTTGCTAAGACAGGCTTTTACACGCTTCCAAACTCTTCTCCCTGAAAATTAACCCCGTTGATTCTCCACATGTTAAGGGTCTCGGGCAAAAGTAAACCAAAGGCTGAAGTAAAATAACCATCCCCTTGGAACTGAACGAAAACTTAAATCCAGGAGGGATCACAGTCTAATTTCATATACATATATATGTATGCAATACACATATATATGAAATTAAAATAGAGACACACATGACTTGGGCATCAGAAGGGGACTGCTACTTTCATACATTCATAAATAGCTGCTGAACTCTCTACTCATGAAGAAGCTCTTGTAGGCAGTTTGGGGATTTGAAAATCTCGGGGACCTCACTGTCCAGCTTACAGATGACCTTGTATATGGCCTTCTTCCAGGAAGGATCAACATCTTTGCCTGCGATAATGGCATTGAAAAACTCCCGTAACGTGATCTGAGCCACTTCCAGGAATCTCTCTGGAACCTGCTGATACAAGGAGACAATGGCATTAATACAGTTTTCAATTTCAAGTCTCTGGTTCTTCAAAGGAAACTGAGCTAAGTTCTTTCTTTCAGAAAGGGGCTTACATAGCACCTGCATTTTCTAAATGTGGCAGCCTTCTATTCTCTTATGCAAAGCTGTTATATATAGTACTATAGCAATAACTTTTATAACATGTGTTACAGATCTTTGTAAAGTCTACTGACAGAATGTAGGTAACAAAATGTTACTGTCTGAGTTTGAAGAGTGGGGGATTTATAGGATATAATTAGCAGGAGGAGAAACAAACACAATTGTCTTTAAGGAGAGAAATGTCTGCTTGGTGTTTTACCCATGCATTTATGGCTATGTTCTCCTCTCCTTGTGGGACTAATAGGAAAGTTATGCATGCAGAGAAAACCCTCTTACCTCTGCGCTTAACTTTGGTCACAACCAGTGCTGAAAGCTATCAAAGAAACAGGGTATCTCTGAATGTTGTTCATAGTTTAAAAACAAGCAAGCAAGCCAGCCAGACTCATCTAACAGCTTGCTTCTGTGGCTGCTGTGCGCAAGACCCCCATAAGATGGCTTTATTGGGAGACATGGTCTTGCCTTCTTTTTCAGAAGCCTACAAATAAAACCGCAGCCTCTTCAATGGGCACATTGTGCTGCAAGTGGCTACTAAGCTGGGATGCATCAAACTCACCCAGGTTTTCTAAATATCACTGTCACTTCATGGGTGAGCCAAACAGCCAGCTAGCAGGGACATGCCACTTTCAGAAGCCCCTGAACAATGGCTGAATGTTAAAAAACACAGTTACCTCCAAACTTCGGTAATTCATCCTAGATAGTTGACTCAGGCAACAGGACCTTCTTACCCTCTGCCTTACATGATTCGAAAGCAATCACTATAATGAACCGTAGGTCAGTTGTAAGGTTGAGGTCATCTCCATAAAGGTATTGTTTTCCATTTTTATTACGGAAATATGGCTTCACAGCTCTAGAACTGCTAATACACAGCCGGCCAGTAGCCAGCATGCTTATAATAGCAAGTATTCCCTCACTGCTATTCTTTGCCCACTCCGGCAAGAGGAGTTCTCTGACCTGCAGTAGAGGCTACTTCAACCATTCCTGTGGCCAACAGACATCCAGGCGGATCTCATTTCCTAGATGCATGTCACATGGCCAGATCAGAGCCAGCACCTCCTCCTCTACTTCAGGCTTTTGTTCTTCTCCTTTTAGAAGCCACTTTCAGAAAATGTCTGGAAATGTGCATGTTTAACCTGATATGACAGAGCTCTGGAGCCTCACTCACCTATCACTGTTGGGGAAACACTAGCAGTTTGCTAGCCACGTTTTGCATCAGATCAGCATGAGATCAGGTCCCCCTGACACCAGCTGACAAACTCTGCTTCCAGAAGCCCTGCAGCATGCAGAAGTCCTCTGTCTACCTCAGAGAGTGAAATCCAGCCCCCACACGCTTTTCTCTGCTCCCAAAGACAGGCTGCCTTTTCTGGAAACTGTTCACTCAACGAGCCGCACAGAAAGAAAGAGTTTTACAGATGTTCTATTCCCGCAATAATTATGAGGGAAGAAAATTATGTTTCACTTATTCCAGCTCAAAGAAATAACTTAAAACGTCACAAAACCACTCTGCTGTTTGGGCCCTTGGTAATACACCTAAAAAAGATAGCATGCTTGTCTCATTCTTGCATTGCTCTAAGAAATACTACACTTATCTGTTCAGGCAGCTCAAACAACTGCTCATGCGCTGTTCCTCACCCTTGGTATTGCTGGGCGCCAACCAAGGGAAGGAGTTGTTGACTACATGATACCAGAAAGCAAGAAATGTAGTAGATAAACAATTTCTTGGAGTACATACTGATGTTAGCTCACAAGGGCAAAACCTGATGGTTTTTGCCTTTGTCCTGGGGAAAAAAAGAGTTCACACTTTTCAATTTTGGTGTCCGCTCTAGAGGACCAACATTAAATGCCTTTCTTCCTTTTCAAGTCTCTGGAGATGGGAGGGAAGCAATTAAAAGCACCTGCATGAGAAGCATAACGCCCAAATGCAGAAAGTCCTACCTCTCCCTACATGGTTACACCCATGACAACTTTAAACATGGAAGTCACAAGTTTTAAAGTTTTTTAAGGTTTTAAGTTTTAAGTTGTGCCTTTGCCATTCAATTTCTTCCTGTGCATATGAAAGTTTTCCAGGTTAGGGGATGCTGGTTTTCCATGGAGTGAGCAGTATGAAACCCCTGAGGCACTAGCTTCCAGGCCTCCCAGCCCTGTAAAGACACACAGGCTTTTCTTTTAGGCTAGGAGTTAGCTTTTAAGGTCCGACTTCATTGTACCTGAGTCACATCTGCAGAGCCAGGCCCCTTTGAACTCGGTACAACAGGCTGCAGGGAGCAGCCCACAAACATAATAGTGAACCAAGACCTGCAGGGGCTTTGAACAGACCTCCTTGTAATGACGAGTTCCCAAAGATCTCCCCTGC